GAGGTCAGGAAGAGTGGGTGCTGGGGCTGCTCTGAGGATGTCCTGGTCTCTGGAGTGGGAGGAGCAGTTAGGAGCCATCCCAGTCCCAGCAACTCAGCCCTGAGGGATGGAGGGAAGCTAGAGGACAAGACAGACGCCAGGGACTCGGTGTTCTTGGCTACCAGGAGGAGGGAGCTTGGGTCCTAGGGCCTGTCGGGGGCCCTGGCTTTGGCCTGAGGCAGGGCTGTTGGCATGAGGGATAGACTCCCAGGAGACCCCCTGGGGCTGGCCCTTCACCCAAGCTGAGGGGCTCTCGGCTGAGGTTGCCTTGGCGGGGGACTAGGTTGCATGGGTTTCAAAGGTGCCTGAAGAGCTTGTGGAAGTGCAGATGGCTGGGTTCCACCCCTGGCATGTCTGACCCATTGGGCCTGGTGTAGGGTTTGAGAATGTGCATTTCCATCACATTTCCAGGTGATGCTGATGCTGCTGGTGCAAAGGCCCTGCTTTGAGAACTGCTAGGTTGGAAGGTGGCAGGATGCAGAGCCATTTGGCATGCAGGAGCAGGGCCAGACAGGAGAGGCTGCTGGAAAGTGAGCGCCAGGTGAGTTAGGGCCCCGAGGGTGCTGGACACCAGCCAGGGCTGGAGGAAGTGGAGGGGCCGCAGCCAGAGGCTGGCAACAGCCTCTCCGTGGCACAGATGAAGCAGCAGGACACATCCCCTTAGTTTTGCCCCCTCCCAGAGGCTGGGTCCCCAGGGGAAGGTAGAGCTGCCTAATCAGAATGCAAATGAGAGGGGGTAGGCAGAGAATACCTGAGGCTTCCGAATGCAAATGAGGGGGGTAGGCAGAGAATACCTGAGGCTTCCGAATGCAAATGAGGGGGGTAGGCAGAGAATACCTGAGGCTTCCGAGACACGAGACACGACCGAGGGGGCCAGGCTGGCCTTGGGGTCGTGATTCTGTGGTTGAAATGTGGGATTGGAACTGACCAGTAACTGGAGATTTAGGTTCAAAGGCGAAACCTCTGAACAGGCATGAGCTGTCTGAAGTGGGGCCTGCAGTTGGTGGGTAGCGGGTGTAAGGGGGATAGCGGGCTGTGCTCTGTCCAGGAGGGGCTGGCTGAGCTGTGGGCCTGCACAAGGCTTTCTGCACCAAATGGCTGATTGGATAAAATGGCTCCCTCTAAAGAAGTTGCTGTCTTTTCAAAAGCAATGAGCTCCAGAGCCTCCAGTCGTGAAAGGAGGGTCTCTGATGCTGCTGTATGCCTGGGAAGGGTCTCTGTACTCCTCTGCTGGCCTCCCAGCCACGTGGAATGTGGCCCTTCCTGCCGGCTGCCCCAGGCATGGGCACAGGGCAAGGTCACCCCCCTCCCAGGGGAGACTGCCCACAGGGAGTGAGCCCACCTGCAGCTTCAGCATCCCATAGGCTGCTCCATAGGACTCCTCAGAGTCTAGTGAGCTTTGCACAGGCAGCAGCGGGAGCACACTCATGAATTACTCTCTAAGATGCTTGGTGAGGCCAGCATTGCTGTTAGATGTTAAGGCATTAATTCCTTCTCACTGGCAAAGAGTAATGCACCTGGCTCAGAGGACCAAGCAGAAACCAAACACCTAAGCCAAAGTGCCTGGGCACAGCCCACCCGCACCCCCAGACCTCTCCTTTCCCCTCCCCTTGAGCCTGCTGGTCTAGAGGCTGCAGGGGCTCACCTGGGGCTGGCAGTCCTCATGGCCGCTGCTCTCCTCTTCACTTTCCACGCCCCTGTTGTTGAAGGACACGTGTCCTGCTTGGCAGATGCAGGAACCATCTGACTTCTGGAAGATCCTGTTCAGGCCCCGACATGTGCAGGTAGAGGCACCTGGGAATAGAGAAGGCGAGGAAGGTGAGGCACCTTAGCCCCACAGACACCCAGCAGTGAGCCTGCCTGGGGCCAGCTCTGTCCCTGTCCTCAGGGAATTTATGGCCTCAGTGGGGAGATCAGACACTGACTTTGACCAAAGTTCTGACTCTAGGTGGCTTTACAGGGATTGAATGAGATCTTCTCAGTCATTCTCATGACTTTTCATGAGCGGTTTTTAAGAAACACTGGTGTCCAGGCCCCCTTTAGGCCAATTAGGTAAAAGTATGAGATGAGGTCAGCGCATCTGCCTTTTTAAAGTCCTGTAGGTGCTGGGCTGAGAACTGTGGATGCACTAGACACTGGATGTGAGGCCTCATTCCCATCCATGACCCCACAAAGCTTGGTCTGCAGAGACCAAGGCCTGAAGGGTGGACTGGATTTGACAGGCAGAGCTGGCAGGACAGGAAGGTGGGCAGGGGAAAACACAGGGGCTCTGTTCTTCTGGGAGAGGCAAGGGGGCTGAAGTGGTGATTGGGACCTGGTGGCCAACAGTGGTTCCTGCAGTTCTGGCCTGTTTGCCACTGTTGGGGTTGGAATCTGTTCAGGGAGACTTGACAACACTCAATTAAAGTTCAGCCCTATGAGTTTGCTTTACATTCCCATGCATACACACATTCCACGTGTACATGTCAGTGTCCAGTCAGCCCTCAGCAGGGCTGACCCCATCCACTGAGCCACCTTGAGCAAGTGGCTGAGCCTGGTCGGAGCTGGTTCCCTCACACCCACCTCTTTGCCTGCTAGAGCCCTTGCATACACGTTGGTTCCATGCATATAATCCAACCCAGTGCCTGGGAGTCACAGACAGGCACCTGCCCTCACTTGCAGCTCTCCTAGAACAGCTTCACCCAGCCGTAGGTGGCTGTTTCCTGAAACCTTACATCTTGGACCCTCAGAGCTGCAGGTCCCAGCCTGGGCAGTCAGCCGTTTGGAGCAGGCAGGCCTGACACTCACCTGGTGGAGAGAAAGCAGCACTGCTGCAGGTGAGGCAGCCCGACTGGCCAGGCAGGGAAGTGAAGGTGTCCACAGGGCACCCCTGGCACTCTTCAGCTGCCCTGGCTCCGCTGCTGCTTCTGAAGGTCCCTGCTGGGCAGGGCCTGGGGCTTCGAGTCCCTGCAGGGCAGTAGTGGCCCACTGGGCAGGGCTGGCCCTGGTAACTCTCTGACCCTGGAGGAACACAGAGAGGAAATTCCACCTCGTCCATGGCAGCAACTGAGTGTGGGCTGGGGGTGTCCAGGGGAGGGATATACCTGCTGAGGGAGAGAGGGAAACTACAAAGAAAATGGGGGAAGGATCTAGATTGTGGGGGCAGTGGAGGGCTCTGTACCCTGTAACCCCTTCACCCCCATAGCCCTTGCTCTCCGTCTCAGCCAGGTGCAGGGCAGGGTGTTGGGCACTGCAGAGTGCTGAGCAGTGGCTGTCCTAGTCTCCAGAGAGCCTGGGCCACTGGCTGCAACACATCTATGTGCATGCTGCTCTGCTCTGCATCTAGAAAACTTTTAAACCTGACACGGAGGCAGCTGACACTCATCTGCTCTGTGTCCCCATCCTCCCCATGTTCTTGGGTTTGTGTCTTGGACTGCTCCAGGCCTCTTCCCCTGCACACCCCAGGTGTCCCCAGGCCCTTAGGGTCCCTCCCTGCCTACACCTCTACCCGCCTCACCGAGTTCCACTCAGGATCCCCTCCAGGCCCAGTCCCCCTGCTCCTGCCCAGGTCTCTCAGGGACTCACCTTGGGAGCAGCTGAATCCAGGTGGGCAGAGCTGGCAGGGCAGGGCATCCAGGATCAGGTTGTGGTAGGTGCCCGCTTCACAGAGGCGACAGCCCATCTCCTCAGAGACCCTGAGGCCACTCCCATTTAGGGCCTCAGAGCCCCCAGGGCAGGCACGAGGTTGGGCGCTGCCCGGGACGGGGGGCAGTAGTGGGGAAAGACACAGCTGCAGAGACAGAGCCAGGCCAGTGTGTGCAGTGGTTTGTCCTCTCACTAGCAGGGGCCAATTTTCCCTGGCCTGGGGCCTCAGCTGCTGGGGGAGGGAGACTCTACTACTGTCTCAGTCAGGGGTCCTGGGATTGCCTTGAGTTTGGTGGGGCCACAGCACCAAGCTGCCTTGCTGGTGGTGGATGAGCCATGCCCAGGTGGCCAGGTTGGCCCTGCCTGCCCATTTCACCCTGGGCAGAGGGGTGTTGTGGAGTGGATATCATGTCAGTGTCAGTCCCAGACATGGGATGGGCCTTAATGGATAAAATACTCCATGCCCAGTCCTATTCAAATTTCAGGTAAACAAGAGGCATGATTTTACTGGAAGTGCACCCTGAATACTGCATGGACCATACTTACAGTAAACATGTATTATCCTTTACCTGAAACTCAAATGTAACTGGGCTGCTGTATTTTTGTGAGCTCCATCTGGCTGCCTCAAACACAATGGGCCTGCACTCTGACAGGGGCATCCCAGGGCAATGTGCTTCCCCCCGACCCCCTTTCCTGGGGCAGAGGCAGGGGCTGGCCCTAGCTGGGAGCCCAGGCAGTGGGTCACAGGGGCTTGCCTCTGGGCCCTGCCCCTTGGCTGGATTTCTGAGGCACACAGGTTTGTCAAGGTGGGGCCTCACATAGGATGCTGATAGCAGTTCCAGGGGCTGGGGGTGGGGCTCCAACTCTCAGGGATGGGGGAAGGAACTCACCTTCGTCCTGGGCCACTGTAGGTGGAGGAGCTGGCTGGGCAGGCATAGCCCCCTGGACAGAGCGGGGGAACCCCTGTCTGGGGCCCGCAGTAGGAGCCAGGTCTGCATGGGACCTCAGTCACAGCACCTGAGGAGACAAGGCCAGGATGTGGGAGAGCAGGCCCCAATGTGGGCGCGGTTGGGAAAACACACCGAGCCATCCCTTCACCCATCAGGAGCACTTGGAAGCCAGGGGAGGTCCAGAGCGGAAGGAGAACCCAAGAGGGTCCCTGGGCAGGTGGGGCCTGGGCAGGGAGGACAGCAGTGCAGCAAGGCCTCTGTGGTGCTGGGGAGCGGTGTGTGAAGGTGGAAGGAGTGGGAAACTTGCAGGCGAGGGAGTCTCATGTGGTCAGGGAGGGCAACGCCTGCAGGGGGTGATGTCACGAACAGTAATCAATGGCAGGCAGTTCCCTTGTCCTTGTTGAGCCAGCGGCCAGGGCAGGAAGGAGGATACATTTCATGAGGTAGGGTGGGAGCTCTCATGAGGACGCACAGGGCAGGTGGCACTGAGGCCACCGCTCCCCTGAAGGTAGCCAACAGGAGGGTGCCTTTGGTTGTGCCTCGAGTTGTGGCAGGCACTGGACACTCTGTACTGGGCATGCTATTTCTAGTTAAACCTCTGGCCAGCCTCCTCCTTGACTCAAATGGGGAGCAAGAGGGGGCTTGAAGGCACCTTGGTCTGGGGACAACCAGGTGATGTGGATGCCACCAGAGACTGGGTGAGCCTTGTGGGGGTTGGTCCATATCTGTGGCCTGAGTCTCAGGGATGAGGGGAGGGATGGGAAGGGGCTGGGGTCATCCTGCAGCCTCACCTGCTGGGCACTCAGATCCGGCTCGGCAGGGGAAAGCAAACACTTTTGCACGGCCCTGAAGCTCAGGGTCTGGGCAGTGGTAGCCTGGAGGGCAGAGCTCACAGTCTTCCTGTGCTGATGCCCTGGCTCTGATCGAAAGGTGCCAGGTGGCAGAGAAAGGCCCCCTGCTCACCTAGACACCAGTGGCCCGGAGGACATGGGTGGTCTTCAAAGGAAGAGAGACCTGGGAGCAAAAGCATCAGGCTAAGAAGGCTGCCTGATGGGGCCCCCAGTAGGCTCTTCCCTCTCCTCCCCAAGGCCCCCACATCCAGCCTGCAGACAGGCTCTCACCTGGCCATGGGCAGTGGTACCCGGTGGGGCAGGGGAGGCACTCCACCTGACTCTGGCCTCCTTCCGCTGCCAGGTAGGTATGCTCTGGGCAGGGCTGGGGGGCTCCTGGCTGGGTCTCACTCCCTCCAGGGCAGTAGTGGCCAGAGGGGCAGGCCTGAGTGGCTGGGGTGCCTGCAGAGCAAGGGCTGCCCTCACTTCCCTCCCCAGATTCGGCTTCCCCAGGACCCCCTCAGGAAGCAGCACATTCCAGGCTGTGACACAGGTCCCACTGCCCTCTGCCTCACCTGCTTTGCACCAGCGCCCAGGGGAGCAAGGCCCATAGTCCTCTTTCTGCTTGGCTCCAGGGTCAGCTGCTAGTGTGTGAGGTGGACAAGGAATGAGCTCTTCACTGCCCTCAGGGCAGTAAAATTCTAGACAACGAAGAGGACATGCTGGTGCCTGTGAAGGCAGGCAGGGCACAGTGCCAGGACTGTGGGGGACCCTGTCCAGGGGTGGCCTGGAGCCAAGAGGGTTGGGCATTAGTCCTGCCCCAACTTGCTTTGTATGTTTGTCAAATCGGTCACCATCCAAATTGCACTGGGAGCAGATTAACACAAGTTAAACGTAGGAAGACTGGGGTCACCTGTTTTTAGTCTGTCAGTGACAATTAAAGAACTCCCTGCGCAGGAGGTCCTGTGCTTCTTTCACACCCACAGGTGAGATGTTAAGGTGGTTACCTGTGTCCCCAGACACAGCTCTGCGCACCGCTGTCTCTGGGGACACAGCATCTGGGGCTGCCTGGATCCTGGCATCCTCACCTCAGAGGTCCCAGGTAGACAGAAGTAACCAACCAGCAGGACATTTCCCCAACACCTGTCCACCTCTAATAGACCAGGAGAGGGTGAAGAGTGAGAAGCTGGGTAGGAGGGCCCCATCTGAGCCCTGGAGCCAGGGCCCTGGGCTGGGGGGAGCCTGCACCGGGTTTTAGTTTTCTCTGTGCCTCTTCCCTTAGATGGACAGCCTGAGTATACAACAGAGACAAGGTGATGTGTGCACAGCACAGTGGGGCGGGAGGCTGACCCCCGGCCAGGCCCAGTATGAGGCTCACAGCCCCTAATGTGTGCTTCCACCAGCAAGCAGTAGCTTCCTGTACATTTTTCCTCCTTGGAGTATATGGAGCTCCATGGACCAGTAGCAGGACTCAGGGCTGCCAGCCGCGGACAGCTCCTGGAGAGCTCAGTGGCCTTGCTAGACCTGTGGTAAAAATGGGGACAGAGGGCACCGGCAGGCATTACACCTGCATCCTGCACTGTTCCTGGAATGTCTGGGGCCTGCTGGGTCCGCAAGGGCTTAATCCTAGGCTTCAAGGCAACCTGAGTCTGATCTCCAGCTCTGCAGCAGGAGAGAGCAGGCTAGACCTAGGGACAAACTTCCTGAGCAGAGGGAGACCAACCTCCAGGCAGAGCCTGAGGAATCCTCTGCAATCACCTTTTAAGCAGAAAAAAATCTGCTTTGCAGCAGGTCCACTTCTGCATGAATTATCAAGCAACTCTTCTGTGGATGAGCCGGACACCATCTATGGAGTTGCAGGTGATTGCCTTCAGCCAGTGCTGAGGACGTTCCTAGACCAAGACCCCTCGTGCTGTGGCTCCCTCTGGGTGTGAGCCCAGTGTCAGTTTGAGAGTCAGGGAACTGCCCTGCCCCGCCCATCCAGCCCTAGAGGCTGTCAGTTTCTGACTCGGGTCTAGAGTTCTCTAGTGACTTCTACTCCATGGGAATGTCCCTACCGTCCAGATGAGGAAGCCAGGACACACTGAGTGGGCATAGGGTGTTCAGGTGGAATTTGGGCTCCCTCAGGCCTAATGTCTGATCGTGCTGTTTAAAGGTACCATTTATTGTTTTTCCCTGGCCAGGTGATCACAAGTGCTTTGCATATGGAAAAAAATTTGGCAGTAGGAGAAGGAAGAACTGTCCATCCGTCCCCTGAATGTGCATGCAGTACACTGGTGTCCCCTGGAGGCACAGACTTTTGCCTGCAAGGAGCTTCCCCATGTTAAGGCAGAAACTGGGCAGAGCTTTTCCACCTTATGCGGATCCTTTCTCAGTTTGAATGCATTTGTCTTTTTTTTTCCGTTTTTTTCTTTTTAAACTTGTCCTGTGCTAATTGTCCGTTCTCTCCTTTACCTCATGGTCAGGTTTTCTCTCCCCACTCAGGCCTGGGTGGGCAGTCAGAGCTGTGGTCTCAACCCCCACCCCCTACACCTGAACTGGGGCATCGAGCCTGCTCTCCCACCCACACTGCAGTCTGACCCGGTGGCAGGAGGTGAATGGCTCTGGGCAGTGACTGACCTGAGTAGTGACCCTGGGGACAGATGGGACAGTCACCCTCTTCCGGGAGACCTGATGCATCCTGGAGAGTGGAGGTCTCTGGAGGACACTGTGGTGGAGACTACGTCCCTGGAGAAGAGGGGGGACATTGAGTGAAGATGGGCTCTAGGGGTTCAAGTCACATCAGCGTGTGTGGACTGGCCACCTTCAAGCATGGTCTGACCCATGACGGGCCCGCACTGTCCCCAGCATCTCGCTGCACCAGGAGGTGCTGGGTTTTTGTGCTGCTCTCTCAGGGCGAATGATATGAATGAAATCACTGCCAGGGGACTTCAGTCTCTTCCCCTAGGATGACTGTCCTTTACAAAGTGGAAGAGGACAAAACTGTGCCTGTCACAGAGAGGTAACTCTAGTGGAGGATTTTTAAACAGCAGCAAAATTGCTTTGGGGTGAGGGGCCCTGTATCTGGCCAGGCTCAGTGAGGAGCTCACTGTGCACTGGACCCCTGTGGGCTCTCTGGGACTGGGTGGAGCCTTGCTGGTAGGTCCTCAAGTAAGTGGGTCTCACTTGGGAGCTGCCTTTAGCCCTATTCCCTCCTCCTTCGGGCCTGCCAAGGGACTTGGAGGGAGGGATGTGCCTGTGCCGCCCCTGCTCTTCCTGTCACATCTGTGGCTCTGCTCCCTGGGAGTGGGGCTTTGACAGCCTCAGCGTTGTCTCAGTGCCTGTGGCTGGCTGTGCACACTAACCACACATTGCCAGGAAAAGAAAGCCCCTGACAGGGAAAAAGCTTTAAAGGGCATAGCTCAATCTACTAAAAAAAAAGTCTGACCAGGAAAGGAGGTAAGAAACTGGAAGGGGAATGTGGGGTTAGGGGAGGCTGAGAATGAGGAGTCCCCACTTCTTCAACAGGGCCACCCTCTTTTCCTAACTGTTTATGGTGATAGTAGTGGGGCTGACTAGTAAAACAGGGACTCCTGGGGACGATGAACCAGCTTCCTTGAACTTGGGATGTTCTAAACATTCCGGGGTAAAAGCCCACTCCCTTGAAAGGGGCACACACACCTCTAACACCATGGTCATGGGGGGAGCACGCATGTACATCTCCCACAAATCAAATGCTCACAAAGTCTATGTACAACCAGCAGGAGGATTTCCTCCTAGGTTTACCTAAGATGTGACAAGCATTATGAACTCTGGTGGACACGTATTTGTCTGTTCTACTGCCTGGGACGGCATCTGTGTGCATGAATGTGTGCAATGTGCATAGAAATGTGTGTGGGTGCACACGTGCACGTGCGTGTGTGTGAGCGTGTGTGTCTGAGCATGTGTGTGTGAGCGTGTGTGTGTGAGTGTGGCTCATGCAGTGTCCAAGTCCATGCAGGGCACTTGGACTCAAAGTCAGATGAAGAGAAGAAGAGAAACAGGGTTGGGGGGAGTGGGAGGCTTGGGCTGAGGTGAGGGGAGGCTGGAGGTTGGTGTGCTTTACTCTGATAGTTCTAGTGTGAGCTCAGTGTCTGGCACACAGTAGGCAGTCCATAGGGTATAAGTAAATGAATGAAAGGCAGGCAGGCAGGGGTGCTGGGAGGGGGAAGAGGGCCTGGGACATGTGTGGAGTTGAGGGCTCCTGACACACCAGCCGGGCAGTAGGCATGTGCTGGGCAGAGTCTGGGCGTGCTGGTGCCCGGATGTGGGCAGTCGAAGCCTGGTGGACATGGGAGGCAGGCATCTGAGCCCAGGGAGGGCTGGTAGTGCCCTTGGTGGCACAGGGCAGGCCAGGCAGCCCCTGACTGGCAGAAGTGACCCTAAGCATTGGACACAAAGTGGCATCTCTGAGGTCCAAGATGGGTATGGTCAGGGTGCCCAGCCGCTGGGAGGGTCAATGCAGCGTCTTTCCTTTCTGCTGGTTCAGGTCTTGGAGAACCAAGGGGCAGGTGGCCTGGAGGTCCAGTGGGGCAGTGGGGAAAGGATGGGGAATGGGGGATGGGGGCGTTGGAGTCCCTCCCTCAAGGCACTGAGGGCCAGCCTGATGCCCACAGTTGAGATGCTGAGCTCCAGCCTCAAATCTGGGGCTGCTCCCAGCCTCTCAGGGCCCTGGGGACTGAGCTCTGTCCTGAAGCTCCTGGGAGGTACCTGAGGGAAGGGGAGAGCCGTGGGGCTGTAGGTCCCGGGGTCCAAGGGGCAGTCGAAGTCGGACTTGCAGGACTCAGTGAACGAGCTGAAGCCCAGGCTTGGGCAGAAGGAGCCAGTGGGGCTGGGCTCACAGTGGCTCTGGGAGGTGCCACCTGGATTAGGGTGACAACAGTTCATGGGATCCATGTCCCTATGGAATTGCAACCCCAGGGGAACAGGCCCTCCTTCCCTGCTGGCTCACTGCTGCGCCTTGGAGCTAGAACAGAGGGCACTGTGGGGCCAGGGTGCAGGCTGTGGGCGGAGCAGTGGCCCTGTCCTGGGGGAGAGGCCTCCTGCTCAGCCTGGGTGTCCCCTGAGGAACACAGCCACAGGGGCTCCTTGCTGCACTGTTTGTGTCTACGGGGCCAGTCGGGGACAGAGGTCTGAACACCACACTGGGGGCACATGGCTGGGCAGGGAGGTCGGGCTCAGGACAGATGCTCACCTGGGCTGCTCCTTGTCCCCAGGGGGCATGGCACCAGGAACAGCATCTCCAGATGGCAGTAGTGGCCTCCGGGGCAGGGTCCATTGAGGGGAAAGGCAAAGTTTCTCTGGGGTGCGGGGCTGGCAGAAGTAACTCCTTCGCAGTAGTAACCTGTGGAGCAGGGCCCTTTGGTACAGAGGAGTGTGGGATTTCAGGGCACCAGCAGAAGCCTCCCTAGCTTGTATCTGAGCCTGCCTGACAGTGAGAGGCCCAGGCCTTGTCTCCACCCACCCCCCACCAGGGAGTCCCTGCGTCTGGTTGCTGTCCCTAATCCTGAAGAGTCACAGAAAAGAAAGGAGGAAGAAAGCAAAGGGGAAGAAGGAGCCGCAGAGCAGCCTTGGTGTCCGGGCCCAGCGCCCACGGCCTGTGGCTGGCGGCGACCACAAGCTCTGGTATTGGCAAGGACGCCAGCAGCATGAGGACTGACAACAGGGGATGACAGTGGCGGGCACTGACTCTGTGCCAGTCTGAGCTCCTGACGGCAATGACCTCAATACACAGCAGCTGCAGGACGTGAGTGCTACTCTCAGCTCAGTTCTCAGGCAGAAGACCGAGGCCCAAGAGGGCAAGGCCCTTGTCCAGCTTCACACCAGCACTGAGCTCCGAGTGAGGCTGGCATGGCTCAGTGGCCCTGCTCTTGGCCATGAGGCTGAGACCTCTTAGGGGAGGGAGGGAGGAGCAGGAAGTGGCATGACAAGGTGGGCTGGCCAGCCGGAGGCCTGTGCTGCAGCCCCGTGGAGGAGCTGAACATTTGGGAAGCAAGGATTCAGGGAGCTGGTTTTGAGTTCTATGTGATGCTGCAAGCCTGCTCTGTCCCTGGCACCTCTCTCAGTCTTTGCAGCACCACGCTGCCTCCTGTAGGAGTCCTGGTGGCCTCCTGTTCTCTCCTCAGCCAGCAGGCTGTGCCATGAGGCCAGTCCCCTGGCCACCCAGTCAGTTCCCAGGACACACTCTATGTGGGCATGGGTACCTTCCATCAGGCTGCCCATTGCCTTCTCCCGGGCAGTACCTCCCTGCAGGGCAGGGCTGGCAGGCCCTGGGGGAGATAGTGCCCTCCTGCTGGTTCAGGGTTCCCTCTGGGCAGGGGTGGGCAGAGGATGTTCTGGCTGGGCGATAGTGACCTGCAGACAAGACCAGGGTGAGCACCAGTGTCCCAATCCCATAGCTGCCCCACACTTCATAGCCTCCCATCCTTTGTGGAACAGAAGTTAGGGCAGCCCCAAGTGTGCAGAGGCTACAGCCAGAGGGCTCCAAGGGGATGCTAGTCCAGAATCCAGGCCAGTGGGGTGGAGTCTATGTCTAGGCAGCTGAGGTGTGGGTGTGACAGTGTGTGTGTGAGCAAATGTGAGTGGAGTGTGTGTGCAAGTGAGTGTGAGTGTGATGGATGTGTGTAATGCCATCAGTGAAAGATGTTACAGTGAGTATGAGCAATGTGAATGTGTGTGAGCATGTGTGCATACATGAGTGTATGCACATGAGCACATCCTCTGTGTGTGCACGGGGCTGTTCCTTAGGGAGAGGTAGGCCCAGGGGCAGGTGTGGGCTGACTTTGAAGGGTTGAGAGGGAAAGAGCTTCGTGTCCTGGAGAAAGTGAGACCATGTTCCCCCATCACCCCCACACTGCCCTACTGTAGTAGTAGAGGCCTCAGGAAAACAGTCCTGGAAAATGACTGGCATTTCTCGGAATAGGGACGGCTCCCATCTCCACACTGTCTCTGTTCTCAGCACCCCCGAGCAGGTGAGGCAGGTCATTCTGGACACAGGATCAGCTGGAGCCTCTGGTGGTCACAGCCAGTCTCCAGCCCTCTGGGCAATGTGGGAAAATGCCCTTATTAGGAACCTTGGATCCATGTTGGCAGAGGATGTTGGCCAATGTGGTGAAGAGCAAGGCCTGGAAGTGAGTGTGGAGGGAGTGGAGGCACCCTGAGGAGGAGGGAGGCCGTGGGGCTGGCCCTGCACAACCAGGGCTCCTTGGACCGCAGAAGCTCAGCACTGGGCAGCCTGTGAGGGTGTGTCCTGTTCAGCCCTGTGTCTGAACAGGGATGGAACATCTGAGGCCTGCAATCTCGGGGAGATAGTCACCCTGGCCTGTGTTACCCAGAGGGGTCAGGGAGAGACCACAGGAATTTAGGGAATGTTTGTGACCTGGAGGCCCTGGTAGCCACAGGTCTGTGCAAGGGACCCTCCTCCCTCCTCTTCCTGAGGAGCTCAGGGCTAGTGTCCCCTTACCCTGCATTGCAAAGTCCCACCTCCAGGGTGCTAGACAGCCCTGGCCGGCGCAGTAGCGTCGGGACAGAGGAGTAAAACCCAGGAGGACAAGGCACTGGAGAGCTTGTTCTCTTGGGGCAGAAGAAGCCAGGGGGGCAGATGTCATTCCCAGATAGTCCTGGGGCGTCCAACTGTGCAGGAGAGAAGGACTTCAATCAGTGCCCCTGTCTCTGCTGCATATACCGGGGTGGGACCTGAAGGAGAAGCTAGAACTGGCATCTATTTGGATGAGGCTACATCGCAATTAAGTAGGCTGGGTATGGCGGCTCGTATCTGTAACCCCTGCACTTTGGGACGCTGAGGCAGAAGAATCTCTTGAGCCAAGGTTATTGAGAACAGCCTGGGCAACACAGGGAGATCTAGTCTCTTTAGGAAATAAAAAAGTTAGCTGGGTGTGGCTGTGCACGCCTGTAATCCGTTTCTTGGGAGGCCAAGGCAGGAGAACTGCCTGAGCCCAGGAGGTTGAGGCTGCAGTAAGCTGTGATGGTGCCACTGCGCTTCAGCCTAGGCAACGGAGCGAGGGCCTGTCTCTAACATTTTCTAAAAGAAAAGATCACATGTAAAACCACCTCACTAACGTGTGTTTTGGTTGTGTCTGTGAGGACTGTGGAAGATGAGCTAGGAAGACCCTGTGGGAGGGAATTGGCCTCTGAAATCCTAGTGTTGACTTAGTGACCTCCTTTCCCTCCTTCCTGACTTTTTCTCTCCTCTGTGGCATTGTTATGGAATTCTCAGAAGAAAGGGCAGTCTCTGTTCTAAAAGGGAGGCCTGGGCCCAGAGGGGGAAAGGGCCATGCCTGCCCTAGGTCACACAAAAAGTCAGTAACAAGATGAGAGTCAGTCAATCAACAAACACTGGCCTCCGTCTCTCCATCCATTTGCCCAGTCCTTGTCTGTGTGTTCATCCTCCCAGCTACTCTCCACCACACTAGGATATGATGATTCAACACACAGACACCTCTGGCATTTCCCAGAATAAGGATGGCTCCCATCTCCAAACTGGCTCTGTTCTCAGGGCCCTGGAGCAGGTGGGACAGGTTGTCCTGCACAGGACCCAGACTCCCAGACTCGGAACCTTCAAGATTCCAGCCTCCTCCTCACTAACTGCCCCCTACAACCCACGGTGCCTTACTCTTTGTCTGATTTCTGGGCATGCTGATCATCTGCAGAGAAGGTACATGGCCCAGGAAAGTGCCTCATATGGCCTTGAGCAAGCCAATTACCCCATGCCCCTGGTCTCTGCATATCTAAGATGGGGTGACTCTGCAGCCTTGTCCCAGGCCTGCCGTGAAGACTCCTAAATTCCCATGGGCATACAGAGTAAATGCTTCCCACGTCAAACCCAAGGTGACAATGACTAGAAGACAAGCTGTTATCTCACAAGCCATTTAAAAAAAAATAAACCCCTGTCAGCCTTGATGGTCAGACACCCTAGATTATAAGATGCTGCTGATTTTAAGGATGTTAAGTGTGAACAAGATGCACATATTAGAATCAAAGAAATGTGCTACTCCTGGGCCCTCTTTGGGCCCTGGAGACAAGAAGGTGAGGAGGGTCCTGCCCTCAGGGAGCTTCAGTCCTTCTGGGAGGAGCCCCTGGTCAGCCTCATGGTCCTGAGCCAATACACATCTGGCTGTTCCAGGGTGGTCCTGACAATACCTACCTTGTGTTTGATGGGGTGGGGGACACAGCACCCCCTGTGCAGTAGTGGGCAGAGTGGCAGAGCCTGAGGGCTGGGGTAGCCCTTCTGGTGAACAGAACATCCCTGGAAATGGCAGATTCAAGGAGAAGCAGGTGACAGAAGGACCCTGCTGCCTTGGCAGCCACCCAGCCTCTCTTGGGCCTTGCCCCACTGCCCCTCATCCCCAGACTCAGGCAAGCAGCAGGTTTGGTGGCTGGGCAGCCAGAGAGGTGTGGGGGTGTACTCCTGGGGCAGGCCTCCCTTTCTAGCAGCACCTGGACTCTGTGGGGAGCATGGGGTTGATCTTGTCCTGAGTCCTAGAGGTGGATATAGGGCAGGCCAGGGTACAGGGAATGAGGATGAGGATGCTGTGATCCCAGGGACAATAGGGGCTACGGGCCCATTGAGAAGTTGAGGGGACCAGCCCACATGTGGGGACCTGCCTGGTGTTCCTAAACCCAGTAGCTCACAGAGCAGGCATGGCCAAGTGCCGAGGCCCCATCCCTGGAGGACTTGTTTGCTCACCTCCTCCCACTTTTCCTGGTTCTCACCCTGCCTTCCACCTAGGCCCATGGTCCACAGTCACAAACCTGCTGGGCATGGCTCACAGTCCAGCTCTGCACTGGCCCCTAGTCTGGGCCCAAATGTCCCCTGAGGGCATGGGTGGGCTGTGGCTGAGTGGAAGCCTGAGGGACAGAAATAGCTCCTGAGGCACCAGCTGGGGCTGTGGGCTGCAGGGTCTGTGGGGCAATGGTAAGGTCGGCCTGACTTGAGGTGGAAGCCCAACCTCTGACAGTCCTGGGGAGACCTGGACTCCCAGGTTCTGAGCCTCCAAGGGCCCAGCCTACCCCTTCCTACCCACCACAGCCAACACACACAGAGTGCTTATTCTTTATCTGATTTCTGGGTGTGCTGACCATCTGCAGAGAAAGTACATGGCCCAAGAAAGTTCCATCAGCCTCCCGGGGCCCTGGCCAGTGTCTGCAAAGCTTCCTTTATCTAGGGTTGGGGCAGTCAGCCTCTCTGGCCACACCAGACTACCCCTCAGTGCCAGCTCAGTGGCTGTGGACTCTTGCCCACCTACTCAGGCTCTGTCTTGACCTCCTGTGTGCTGTGCATGCCTTGGGGACACTGAGTCAGACCATGGCCCACTAGGTGCTAGGGGCCTAGATCTCAGACTGCCATGGCCTGCACCCACATCCCCACTGTGCCCAGAGCTGAGTTGGGCATGAGGCAGTCCTGATGATGTGAGGGCAGTCACTGTGGAACGTCCCATCCTAGTATAAATCCCCAGCATGCTCTTCCCTCAAACCTGTTTGTTTCAGGGTCCCCACTCCCCGACATGCTGTTATTTGCTCAAGCACTGCACATAGAACATGACGTTGACCTATGTCACTATGACAATCAAGCCTCTGATGTAAGAGGATTCCCCAGATACATTCCACAGCCACCTCTAAGTAGGCGCAGGCAGTGGAAGACACAAGGCTGCCAAGTGGGCCTGAGCCCACGCAGGTCGCACTCTCCCTGTCTGAGCAGCCCAGGAGGTACCATCTTCCCTTCTCATATCACAGATGAGTGCAGGCACTGCTTCTGCAGGCCTCAGGCAGAGCTGGGTGCTCCTGAGCTCACACTCTGCCATGGCACCAGTGCCCAGAGGGAGCCTCAGGCCAGCCCCGATGAACCCACCTGGGTGGGAGGCTTTGCAGTATAATCCCAAAGGGCATGGCTCACAGGAGCCCTGGGCCTCCTGGGGCTAGAAGGCTCCGTTCTCACAGGCCCATGGCTGGGATGATCCCACAGGACAGTAGAATCCCTGGGGGCACCGGAAGGATGTAGGGGTGCCTGAGGTATGCCCAAGGGGACAGTAATAGCCAGCTGAGCACGGCCGATCCGGGAGGCGTTTCCCAGCCCCTGTGAAGAGAGGATGTAGACAGGCTCCATCCAGAACACTGAGCTTGGCTTCAAAGAAGGAAAGAGTGCCCAGGGCTAAGCCTGCACTTGGAGGCACAGTGGGCCTCAGAGTTCCAGGCAGGAGGCTGCTTTCAAGCAGGACTCCATGGTTCAGCCTGGCTCCAAGGCCATGCCTGGCTCTGGCCCACTGTGACTCTGCTGCTCACAACCTGTATGGCTGTGCAGGGCCCCCCTGAACTCAGTCTTTTCATCTGTGAGATAGTAGCCATGTGGGAGGACAAATAAGGTCCCCTGCGGTCCTGTCTCCCACTGCTTCTTGCACAAGGGTGCAACCTCTGTTTCCTCTAGGTCTTCGTTTGTATGTGGTCTTGCCCTTTTTCTCCCTCTAGTTCCTGCCTCCCTAAGCCCTAGAGTACTTCAAGCCCAGAGCAAGCACTCCAACTAGGCTCTGTAGGCCCCTGCCTTTCCCTATAGGATCAAAATCCCCCTTCTAAGGACATCCATAGCACCTGGTCTGCCCCTATTAGAACATTTGCTAGAACTCAGTGTGTGCCTGGGCTGGCCACTGTTGCCTTTGTCTGCCTCTTCCCATCTTCCTCCCATTGCGAGCTTGCTTGGCTTCACCCCCTCCCCAGCTCCCCAGACCTTCCAGGCCTCATGCAACTAGGATGTTTGCCCACGGGCAGGTTAAGGACCCTCCAAGACACATGGAACAGATAGGAACGTGGCAAAATACCAGAGAGACAGCTCTCATCACCTGAATCAGAGCAGAATTGTCCTGCAGGACAGGGTCTACAATCCTTGGCACTGTGTGCCCCTGGCCTCTCTCGGAAAGTGCCCCTGGGACATGGGTACTGGGTGGGGTTCTGAGTACCCAGAGGGCAGTAGTAGCCAGCAGGACAGTCCATTTGCCAAATGGGCTTGGCTCCTGGTCCCTGGACCCTCAAGGGACAGAACCTGTGGATGCAGCAGGTGTGTGGTCAGGAATGAGGGAGGGGAGGCCTCTGACATCCTCAGGTTTTCTCAGGTTTTTTAGGAAGCCAGGCTCCTCCAGTGGCAGGAAGCTTCCAGGACCTGGAGAATTGGGGCAGAGCAAGATTGTCACAGGATCATCTAAAGTGAGAGGAAATGGAGAGCAAGGGGTCAGTGGTCTCTCATGTTTTGCTGAGTCTTGCATGAATCTATAGCCCTCCCAGGTCGTGTATAGGTGCTGGAATGTTTATTACATTGACACTGCAGGGTAACTGGGGGGTAGGGGGAGTACGGTCACTGTCCAGAAGGGTCCCCTGATGTATCTGAGACCTTTCTGGTCTCAGGGAGGGTAGGGAAAGTCAGATGTGACTGGACAGAAAGGATGGGCCCCAGTCCAGGTGCCAGTAACTCACTTCCCAGCAGGACAAGTCTTGCAGATGCTATGCCCAGGCTTATCCTGACACCGCCCGGCAGGGCAGGGATGAGGCTCCAGGCTGCCCAGGGGGCATGAAAGCCCAGTGGGTCAGACAGCATCTAGAAAAGCAAAGGAAAAGGAGATTCCTCTTGGGGGCTTCCCCACCTCCTCAGTCCTGTGGCCCACCTGAAGAGGAGGTAGCTCCTGGCAGCCTGCACTCTTAGAAGGGCCTGGAGGAATATCTTGAAGTTTTGGTACGAAGGAGCCAGGTCCATAGTGACAGGGACTAGGGGTTGTACAGGGGATCATGAAGCAGCTTCAGCCTCTGAGGCCAGGCATCTCTCATCTAATGCGTCCCCGCTTTGAGGTGTTCCTTACAAAGTGTGCATGCAAGTTTGGGAAATGCTCTGTGGAATGACCTTCCTCACATTGAGCAGAGGCAGGCAGTGAGGACACAGCCTGAGCCCCAGCACCTGGCTTTACCAGGAGCCCTTTGTTGGAAAGGCGCTGCTGCCTTCACAGTGAAGCTACTTCAGGAACAGGCATGCTGGGCTCCTGCATACTGCACCCATAGTCTTGAGGATAGGGCTCCTTTTCTGTTTCCTGGGAGATTTCACCATATTCTTTTTAGAGATGCTGGCCTAGCTCGGCTATGCTTTGGGGCTATGTCCATGCTGAGGCCAGAGCTTCCAGGCGGGGCAGAGGGGGACCCTCCTTAGGGCCTCCTTCTTGGGGAGGCCCGAGGCACCAGGTGAAGGCTTCCCTTGGGAGGCCAGCCTGAGACAAGGAGCCCCTCTCACCAGACCCTCAAAGTCAAGGAGACAAATGGATGGGTCATCTGGGCTCTCTGCAGAGAGTATCTGGCATGCAGCTGGTTTTCAGTGAATATCATGGCAAAACTGCCTTAGAGTGGAGGGCACCATGGAGTCATCTGCAGGCCGGCCTGGTTTGCACAGATTTAATCTTTTAAACGCAGTTGCCTGAATTTGCAGCTTCTCTTGAGCCTTGATGTGAATCATGGGTTTCTGCCGTCCCAACTTGAGCATGCACAGTGGGCCTGGACCCTGCAGGCATCTGATCGCATTCCCAGGAAGGGCTCGCTGACACCCTTCCAAACTTGTTTGGTGCTCTGACAACCATTCACGTGGGTCTGCAAAGACTGTATTCTCAGCTCCCCCATGAGGCCCGCAGGCCTTGCCTAGGCCAGCCTTCTCAGCCTGTTTCTTCACTTGGCAGCTAAACTTCTCATGCACAACACACACCCTGAAGGGTCTCAGGGTCCACATATGGGTTCCAAGAACCAGGTGTGACTGCACCTCTTTTTCCTTTGACACAAGAGGGTGTATTGTTGTGTGACTGAGTAATGTAGTGATAGGGCTAACTTGCAATCCCTTCTGATTAAAAAAGGAAACCTACTCTAATCACTGGTACTCTATCCTAGTTACTTACATGCTTCAAAACTGGTTACAACCAGCCAGATGTGGCAGAGAACTGGGCCTGTGAGGTTATATAAGAAGTCCAGGAGCATGAGGCTGTCTTGTATCTCCAGCTCCCACAGAACAAACGACAACCTCACATCGTAAGTAAACAAGCAGAAACCTAATTTAGGAGTGCATTTTTTTTAACAAAAGCCAGGTTTCAGCCAGTCACAGGTAGCCAGCTGATCACACCATGCCCAAATAAGGCAAATGCCAAGCCAGCCAATCCCAGGACCTCTCTGCCTTGCATCCATTCTCAGCCTGAAGGAGCTCCCTATCCTGCTGCCAGGTGGGGCTCTCTGATCCTCTTCAGGTCTGAGTGCATCCCGATTTATCAATTCATTGTTCAAATAAACTCCATTAAATGCAATTTCTCTCATTTTTCTTTCAACAGGCCACAGAAGACACAATTGTGCTGCTTCTGCTAAGGAGAGCTTGGATCCACCTTGTCTCTGGGAACACACATTTCCCCTTCCACTGCAGGCCCCAGGTATCACTAGAGAAATTTCACATAGCCCTAGAGTTCTTTTATCTTCTCCCTCAAAGCATGGGATTCTCCACATTTTCCCGACTTTTAAAAAATCCTGGCTGGACGCGGTGACTCACGCCTGTAATACCAGCACTTTGGGAGGCTGATGTGGGCAGATCACCTGAGGTTGGGAGTTCAAGACCAGCCTGACAGACATGGAGAAACCCCATCTCTACTAAAAATACAAAATTAGCCAGGTGTGGTGGTGTGCTCCTGTAATCCCAGCTACCTGGGAGGCTGAGGCAGGGGAATCACTTGAACCCAGGAGGTGGAGGTTGTGGTGAGCCAAGATCACACCATTACACTCCAGCCTGGGCAACAAGAGTGGAACTCTGTCTCAAAAAAAAAAAAAAATCCTTCTTTGTTCTTTTATTCTTTTATTTCTTCCCACGTGGATTCTCCCATCCCTCTGTCAGATTGGGATGCCGAGCTCTGGGTACACGAGGAGCTTCATAAAACAGTGTTTCCCACCCCTGCTTCCACAGGCTTGGGAGCCAGAGGAGCTAAGAGCAAATGGGTAGCCCATGGTTGTGTCTCCCTGCCGGCTGACCCACCGGAGATCCCACAGCACTACCCCTCATGCCTCTCTGGATGTTGAGGAGGGTCTTCTCTTACCTGGACTGTGCCCAGAGATGGATGCCCTGGGGCAGTACCAGCCTCCATCACACAGGGCCTCTGGGGAGCTTAGGCTGGCCCTGGAGCAGAACCAGCCGGCTGGATATGGCTGGCAGTCTTCCATTGACATGGCACCTAAGATGGGTAGGAAGGAGCCTGCCGGGCCACATGCTGTGGCTGCACCAAGGCACCCCGGAGAGAGACCCATGGTGGCCCACCTTGAACGGTAGAGCCATGCACTCTGTTCACTCAGTCTCATGGGGCTGAGGGGTGGGTGGTGACTCCCTGCCCTGAGACTCCTCACCTAGCACACTGGAGCCTGGGCTCAGCTGACACTCTCCCTCCCGCCTCACTATACCTCTGTAGTCCCTAGCCCCTGCTTCAGGCAGGAGCAGGGAGCCTGGACCCCAGCTATAGCTGGTCATACTCATCATGGCACCGCCCATGCCCCATGCTGCCAAATATGGGTGGATGTTGTTTTGTAGGTACAGTTGGAGGGTTTCTTCTGTGTTATTCCCTGGGAGGCTCCCAAGGCTGGCCCCCATCTCCTGTCTCCTCTCCAGGACAGAGAGTGGAGTCCATCATCCCACTGGTGACTCACCTGGGGAGGAAGGAGCAGGCCAGGGGCTTCCCTGGGGACAGAAGTGGCCTGGAGGGCAGAGGTCTCCAGTGACCCCGTCAGTGGGATTAGGGACAGATGCTCCCTGGCTGCAGTGGAACCCTGGACTGCAGGGCCCTGACACAACCACTAGCCCAGGCAGGAGACAATAGGAGCCTACAGGGAAAGACGGGATCCCCTGGGATTAGGGGTTGAGAGCTTGGGGCACCATTTCCTCCAAGGGCTGATCTCCGAAGGTGCACCTTGGGCTGTGACCCACACGTTCCCATGTGAACCAGGGCTGGATGCTGCACTCTCTAGCCAAGGAGGGCATGGCCTAGTGAGGCTGGGAAGGCTTTTGCTTTTACCTGGCTCACAGGGGATGCAGTCTGACTGCTAAAAACACCCCCTCTCTGTGGCTTGTAGGTGCCCCGGGGCAGGGAAACTGAGAAGCGAAGGCGGTGGAGGCAGGGAAGTAGTGGCCAGCAGGACACTCACTTCCAGCTACAGAGGAGGTGTTGGCCAGGCGGAAGAAACTGCAGAAAAGAGAAAGGAGGAGCTTAAAGAGCTGGGTGGCCGCTGCAGCATGGTGTGGCTGGACATGGCCACCTGCACCACCCTCCATGGCTGGACTCGGGAGTTATTGCCCCAGTGGGGCACAGCTCTGCCCAGTGCAGTGGGCCACCTAGGGAATTCAGTGCTAGGCAGATGCTCAATGGCTGAAATTGCAGAAAAAGAGACCCAGGTTTGAAACTGGGAATGACTCAGTGATATCCAACAAAGAGATCAAAAGACATAAAGGGAAACAGAAGTTGTGAAAATTCTCCCATGACTTCTGAAGTCAGAAAGCTCAGGCTGAAAGGGATCTTAGCCAGCACCTGGCCTGGTGCCTCCTGCAGTAGGAATGAATACCATGCACCCAGAGACCCCAGGGATACCTTCCAGCACTCACCCCTGAGGACATGGTGCACAGCGACCCTGAGCCACCAGGGGGTTGTGGGTGCCTGTGGGGCAAGGTCTCGGGGCAACAGTCCCAGAGGGGCAGAAGTGTCCTGAAAGGGAGGCAGACCCCACAGGTCAACAGGAAACTCCACTCCCTGGTGCTCAGAACAGCTCCACCCAAACTCCAGGTCCTGCAGGGCCCAGGGGACAGGTGGAAGTCTCTTCAGGGCCCTGGGCCCTGTCTGGGTGGCAGAGGCTGGGGGTGGAGCTCATTCCCCACTGAGCAGTTTCCTCCTCAGCATCCCACCCTGGGGAGAGGATACCTGCAGGACACAGGCCACTAGCTTCATCTTCCAGGGAGCCATTGGGGATGAGGGCCCCCCGGAGACAGAAAAAGCCTTCACTGCAGGGCCCAGAGGGGCAGGTGAGGCCGGCAGAGCCGCAATAGTGGCCAGGCAGGCACGGGGAGCAGGCACCCTGCAGGAGATGCCCCCACTAAGATGTGTGACCCCTGGTTCCTGCCAGGACATGGAGGCCAGGGCCACCCAAGGAGGGCATCTAGGAGTGCTTGGTGTGGGAACAGAAGATCAAAAGGGCCTTGAATCTGGAGACAGTCTCCTTCTGCTCCCACTGGTCCTAGAACATCTCCTTCCACCTGCAGCATGCCATGGGTACTCCTGCCACTCTGCTCAATCCCCGTACCTCTTCCAAGTCTCACCCAGAGCTCTGCCCTCCCAACAACCCTCATGTGAGCCCACCATGAGGCCATGTTTGCTGCTCCCCTGATCTTTCGCCATCCACTCACAGTAGCCACGTATTCATCCAGCAAACACCTGGACTGGAGAGGAGTGAGCAAAAAGCCTCCCTAGCTTTGTGGTGCTGAGATGTTAGTAGGAAAACAAAATAGTCAACAAATAAATCAGGGTCTCTGACTGTACTATGTGCTCAGGGGGACAGGGCAGGTCTCCTTGGAAAGTGACCTTTGAGTAAGACCTGAGAAGGGAGGTGACTGGCCAGGTGACCCTGCCCCCCAGTCCCCAGGATAACCTTTGACCTTGGGAGCAGCACAGTTAGACTCCATCCAAACAGGGCCCTCCCCACCCTGGCTTCCTACCCCAGCTGGGGTCTCCCTACCTCTGAGCTGAGCTTGATCCATGGGCTAAAGGTGCCAGGTGGGCAGGGCTGGGGCATAGCTGAGCCCCTGGGACAGTAGTGTCCCGGAGGACAAGGGCCAGCTTCCTCTGCAACCAAGACACAAGGTCAGCCTGGGGTCAGTCTGGGCAGGGTGAGGCAGGTGCTCCCAGCAGCTCCTGCTGCATTCCTGGTGTAGGACCTGGGCCCCACAAGATGAGGCTGCTGATTCCCGAGGACACGGTGAGGGGGTTCCTCCCACAGAATGCACCCCTCTGCAGTCTAGTTATTCACCCACCTCCCCTGCTGCTGGTGCCTATGGGAGGAGGTTGCAGGAAGCATTTCTGACCCAGGAGGTGCCTAGCCAGGGATTAGGCCTCCTTTCCAAAATGCTAAACCCTGGGGGCCAGGGGTATTGCCAGTTTCTGAGACCAAGGCAGGGCCTCCATAGATGACGGTCTGTCCCAGCTCTTGCTGTGAGGCTCGTGCAGACCTCCCATGCTGGCTCATGTTTTAACATTTTCCCGGTAATACTCACAAAGCAGGGCAATTTCTGGGAGTACCTAGCTGTGACTCTCTCTGACCCCCTTCCCTGCCCTGCATGGGTCATGCTCCAAGAGGCCACTCAGTGACTGAGGTTGGGAACAGGTCAGTTAGAGGCAGCTGCTGAAAGTTGGTGGGTCGGAAGCAAGGGGATGAGCTGTGCATCAAGACAGTGTCCCCAGAGCTCCCCCATCAATGCCCAGGCCACCATGAGGCTGGCGTGACTCCTGTGGCCCAAGGGGGCTACAGAATGGCAGAAAGCTGGGCTGGGATCAGCCTCCTGGGTGCCCAGCTTGGAGACTGACTGCGTGTCCTCAGGCAAGGCTATCCCTCTTCTGGGGCCTCAGTTTTCTTGTGGGCAGAGACGGATTCGACTAGAGCACAGAATTTTGTCCTATGGTCCCTGGATTCAGGCATCCAGGGAGTCCATGAAGTGCAAGGAAAGCCCTGGGTGCCTGGTGTGCTGTCATGAAGGTGTGTTCATAGATTCTAAAGGGGATTTTACTCTCAGAAGATGAAAGCCTCTAGAATAATCCCCTGGCTGCATATGAGAACCATTGAGGAGCTGAACAAATTGGCCACCTCTAGGTGCATTACGAAGCTCTCTGAGTGACTCCAGGGCACAGCCAGGTTGAAAACTACTACGTCATGATCCCTAAATGAGCTTCCTTGGGCCAGACCCTGCTCATGCAACTTGGGGGCTCCCCCAGGATAGTCAGGAGGTGGAGGAGACAAAAGCCAAAGCACTGCTCCTTGCCAGGCCACGGTGTGCTGCCCACCATGCAAGGAAGCCTGGGAGCACACGATGGACCCCAGGGGTCTCCGAGAGAACAGATGCCACAGTCTCTCTGGATTGACCAGAGAGTGGGTGGGGGGACCAGAGAGTGACTGGGAGGCCCCCACCTCCCAGTCATGGGGCCTTAGGAAAGGAGGGGCTCAGTATTGGCAGGAGGGTGTTGTACCTTCAGTGCCGGCCTCCGGGTTGGGCCTCGTTGACCCTCGGGAACAGAAGAATCCCTCCCAGCACTGCTCGCCAGCCTCCGTAGCATTGGTCCCCGTCACAGGCTTGGCAACCTGGCAGGCTGCTTAGCCCAGGCGTGGGGTTAAGGGTTGCCAATCCAGCCCTGTTCCTGCAGGGCAGTGGAACCCTGTGAAGGGAACATTAACCAGATTTCAACTTGGGAGTTGGGGGAGGGGAGGAAGACCAAGGAGGCCCCCAGCAGGGTTGGCTCTGGAGTTCGGCCCGCCTGAAGGCTTGGCTCCTCTGCAGGGGGATTTTGCCCAGGAAGTCTGAGTGCTCTATAAATGCAGGGATCCCAGTGTCACAGTCTGAATCTACAGCCCAGACCCTGGGGTGCCCAGAAACTTAATTAAGGCCTGAGAAGATTTGGGAAGGTAACAGGCAAGTTAATTGTCTATAGACGACTTCCCAA